TAGAGGGTGTGGAGAAGGGTAGAGAAATGTGGTAAGAGTAAAGATGGAGTAGTAATTGAACAAGGAGGGGTGTGTTGGTATATTTGTCATAGGAAATTACCAAGTAATGGTGTAACTATTTTTACGTTTCCATTATAAGAATATGGTGCAATGATTGATGAACAGAGGAAATATATTTCTTAACTAATGAAAAAGTGAGGTGTGGTAAATGAAGAACTATAATGAATATTGCCTGCTTTCTCTTATAGTCTTCAAAATCTACATATCTTGTTTGAAGTCATCCGAATCACCTATCCCTCGTAGATTTTGTTGGTATTTGTCTATATTTGTGGTAGAAAAGAAAGACGAAGACTGTAAATCTCTGCTTTGGAACTGGAACATACTGTTTGGTATTTGTTGTTTTTATTTATTAAGCATCTAGAATGAAGCTGGTAGTATATTTGTTTTATGTGAAGATAAGAATCTTCTTGCAAAGACTCACATAGGAGCTTTAGAACCATAATGCAATGTAAGTATGAAACTTTGAGCATTGTCAAATAATGATTGTATACTTTTTTTATGAATTGGAGGAGCTTAGCCAAGCAAGTTGAATATAATTGCAAAGTCCAACGCAAACAATGGTTAAGCAATTTCTCTTAGGCCGAGCTATATTAAGACACAGTACAATATTTTTAAAAGATTACACTTTTGAAGATGGTGAAACAAGTGAATCTTATGTAGGTCAACGGGTGAATGTTAGGTAATGAACATTAAAGCATCTCTAATTCACTATCAAAGTCATCAACATTCTCAACATAATCTTCATTGTCATTAATTTCAACTTCTATCTTATCCACAACATAAAATTTTTGTTTCAATCGCAAGTGGCCATCCTCTTACTTTCTTAAAATATAAGAAGGAAAAAGCCAAAGGATCCCTTGTCTCTCTCGTTTCTCTTCTGGTTTTCGAATTTTATGAAGTTGTAATGGAGCTTATTCACTTCTTTTAACCCTTACATTCTGTCAACAAAACAAGAAATTCATATGAAGTCATATATTGTTAGGAAAGCTGTCATTTTTTTTTTCTTTGTCTGAAAAACTATCAATACATGGTCAGGGAAGCACATACTCATCCACCATTCCTTGTGGGACTGGTTGGATGGACAAGTTCATTTAAATGAATGAATTTTTTATTCTTATCCCCTTTTAGTTTAGAAGATTAGTGGGGCATCTTGCTTTTCTTTTACCCGGATGTCACACCCAACCCTCTTGCACCATTTTTGATATTCCCAAGATGAAGTGTGGAAATAAGAATCTTTTTAAACCATTAGATAATGCAACCTTATAAGATTTCTAGGAGTTAAGATTATCACTTTACCTTCCTTTGGATCAGGTAATGTCTTTAACAAAATAAAGTTTCGTGTCACTCTTTTGTATTCCATTTTTTATTTCCGTTTTTCCTACATATCCTCGTAGTTTTTTCCATCATCCCATCATCATCATTATTACTCCCTTTGTTTCCCAATAATTGCACCACTAGGCATTGCATGAAGTTTAGGAAAATTATAGGATGGGACCAAAGGGGGAATGTTTTAGTAAAATTACATAATGTTGCGGGGCATTGGTTAGCCCAAAAGACATTCAAGGAATTCATAACTACCATATCTAGTTACACAAATTGTTTTTGGCTCATCACTCTTTTTAATTCTAACTTGTCAGTAACTAGAACGTAAATCAAGCTTAGTGAAATATGTTGCCCTTGAAAATCTATCAAACAGATCATCCGTGGAATGGGGTACTTGTTTTTCATCGTGATCTTGTTTAACGCACGATAGTCCATACACATCCTAAGTGAACCACCATTTTTCTGAAGTAGAATTTGCGTGCATCTAGCAACCCATCCAACTGCTTGCGTAATTTAGCCAATTCAAATGGCCCCATTTGATTTGTATGTGGCTTCATATCGGGCTCTCATTCACTCTCATGATTCACCGCGCGCCTTAGTGGAAGTTTATTGGGTGTTCGGTCTTTAAACCATCAAATTCCTTTAACAATAAAACAACTTCGTCTTGAAAGATCACATCATCCTTCATTTCAACCAAGGCAGCCAAAAAAGTGCTCATCCCATTTAACACTTTTTTTTAACTGCATGGCTGACATCATACCAACAATGGTATGATGTCTTACCATGGACAAAGCAAGGGAATACTTCATCACCTATCATAATTTCATCGAAATATGGGGCTACAAACGCCTTGCCTGTTTGAAGAACTTGTTACCGAGTAGTAACTTGTACTCATCCATTTCCACGGCCAACAAATCTACCTTTCCCTTCTTACGGGAATATCTTTCACAATGCCAATCGAATTCGCAACGGCAGATCATATGAGACGATGGTTAAACTTTTAACCCCATCTTCCTAACTAGCCCACCTTTAAGAAAATCTGGTATCAACCATAGCCCACATTTTCAATTCCATTAACAATGACCTTACAATACATCAAGCCATCAACTAGTTCCTTTTGTTCACCTATAATTGCTTTAAACAATTTCATAGTGCTCATCTTTGGTGAAACTAACAACGGAAGTTGCTGGCGCTTATGACAGTTTCTTGCAATGTGTGGCCCTTTGCAAATATAACATCCATCACTGAAATGCGGCTTTTTTTTTTTTTCCCTAAATTTCCTCTTTTTACCACGATCATTACCCTTCTCTTTGTTGCCTTTGTTGTCAGAAACATTTGATGGCTTCCAATCAACCAGCGCTTCGACAATAATAATAGCAAAATTCAAATGTTACTCCTTTTTCCTTCTTAATTCCGTTTGAGCCCATGGCTTCAAACCAAACATAAACTAAAACAATTTGTTCTCCTCGGACATGTTACTAACATCTAACATAATTGACATAAATTCTTGTAACATACTCACGGATAGTGATTGTATGCTTGAAATCCTTGAACTTATTACGAACCACCCAAGAAGAGGTGGTGTAAGAATTGCTTTCAGGCTTCATCTTTCATAACATCCCACGAAGAGATTGAATCCTTCTTAGCAATTCTATCGGCCTCTTGGCATGATCTCCTCCACAATTTCGCACTGACTAGATACAATCAGCCAAATCAACCTTTTCGCCATTCTACCGGTTTGTAACCTTGAAGTAATGTTCCAAATCCCAAATAAAATTTTCTAAGGTTCTAGGATCATGATATGTTCATCTGATGTGGAAGTAGATGCCTTTTCACCCATTGCCTTACGAAAAAGAGAGATTTCTTCCCTTAAGTATGTTAATTCCGCATCAGCTTCCATTTACCTCTCTCTCCTTAAACAACGTAGTTCCATTAGGACCAAACATCTCTTTCTAAATTTTGAATCATACCGTTCCATTTCGTTCGGTTCATCACAAAGTAACTAAATCAAATCCCGCACCGTACTAGGGAGTAGTTCATCGTTACCTATCCCCAAGTATTTTTCAACTTCAACAATGTAGCCTTGTTTTCTTTCGAAAACTTCACCAATTAAATAGAATATTTCTGTACAAGAATTCTTCGAAAGAATACCAACTTAGTTGGATTGAGTTGAAAGCCATCGTTTGAGTGAGAGTGACGGTTAGGAAAATTCACCGTATAGCAACTATTGTTAGGAAATTAAAATTCCACACAATCCTCCAACGCGTTTGCTGCTTTGTAATTAATCTGTTCCCACTCTTGCCTCCTTTCTTTCTCGATACGCTTGATCTCACGTATGTATGGAGCAACATGACGAGAAATGGGCATGTCGAATTCCAGACACGGGCTGACGGGCGTGTCTCCTTCGAATTCCGACATGGGTGTGTCTCCTTTGATGACACTCATTACAACAACGTCACTTGTCAAAGGCATGGCCGTGCCTCATTTCGGCATGGGCGTGCCTTACTGGGGCATCATACTCGATGGGGCATTGCCATGCCCTTATTCAACATGGCTGTGTCTTCCTAGAATGTGACAGCCGGTGGGATGCACTCGACACTCTGACACAACACAGACATGCCCCTATTAGGCATGGGCGTGCCTAATTCAAAACTTCATATTTCTTGGCTTCTCTTCACTAAAACTTCAAAAATTGGCCTTAAAAACGAGTTGTGAGCTATGATTATGATCTATAACTTCATAAAACCTTCGAATTAGCCTCGTGAATCCTGAAATACTTCGAAAGCAGCGAAATTACCCTAAAAGCATCTTATGATCATAATCAAACCAAATCAAGCTAAAATAAGTTATGAGCAACTAAGCTAGATTCGAAAACTACCTATAAGGGCTTTAACAACAAGTACAATACACGACTTATCACACACCATAGGGTTATATTACTATCTACATAGGCTTACCTCGCCCAGCGTCGGGGCAAGCTGCCAGTGTGCCTTCCACCAACGCTTCTTAGGGGTCTCATTGCAAGCTACTAAGGTCAATCGTTTAAGTTAGCAAGATTTGGCTGTTGTCAATGCAGTACAATACCCCTTTGAGGCTAAAGATTGTGAGTTTGTTTCTCTACAGTCCAGATAAACAACAGATATATTAGTGGTCTAGTATTCTAGTTTAAAACTGTCTGTTTTCCATCCCAGACCATTTTTTTTTTTTTTTTTTTTTTTTTTTTTTTGGTGGGGGGGGGGGGGGTAACAAAAGGGCAATTGGAACTTAATAGAAAACACTTGATATTCTCGTGGATGTCCACGATAATAATTCTTTTCAAGTGTTGTTTCTTCATAAGCTCTTAGGCGGTAATGAAATCACGTGGTAGGTAGATGAGGTGCATTACCATTATAATCTAAATGGGATGTCTTAAAAGTCACAGATAAATCACTTTGAAACTCATTGTCCTTAATCTATGATCTGTATACCAATCGGGCAGTAAATCTGAATGTGATCAATTCTTTACTAGATGAATGTGTTTTAAATGTTGTTATCTATACACTATATTTTAGCTTAGATGCTTCAAAATTTTGCCTCATGAGGTTTTTTTTTATTTTTTTATCAAATCTAGCATACAGCCCACCTTTTAGCATCTGCTGGAATGGATAATTTTGTTTACATATGGAATGTATGGAGTGAGCAACATAAAAAAGCACGTGTATTTAGTTTTCATAATGCGGCTGTGAAAGATGTGAGGTGGTCACCTCAGGGACAGTTCATTCTTTCTTGTGGCTATGATTGCTCATCAAGGTTGGTTGACGTCGAGAAGGGTATGGAAACTCAGAATTTTACAGAAGACCAGGCTGTTACGGCTATTAAGTTTCATCCACACAACTCCAATCTGTTCCTCTCGGGTGGATCAAAGGGCCTCCTGAAATTGTGGGATATTCGAGCAGGAAAGGTGGTTCATGAGTATGTTCGACGCCTTGGACCGATACTTGATGTTGAATTCATTAATGATGGCAAGCAATTTATCTCTTCAAGCGATGTATCCCAAACCAATCTTAGTGAGAACTCTCTCATTGTCTGGGATGTTTCTCGGGAGGTGCCTCTGTCCAATCAGGTTGCTCTTTAGCTTCTTGTTTGTTCCTTTTCTTTTGAAACTGGACACATCTCTAGTTGTTTGAAAGTTTTTGAAATATTGTGCTCACAAAGTGTATGTCTAGGGGGCTTCGCTCTCTTTGTTTTCACCTGAGAAAATCCAGTGTGTAACTTCTTTCTGTCCACCATTTCTTTGTTCACAGGTTTATGTGGAAGCTTATACATGCCCTTGTGTTAGATGTCATCCTTTCGAACCTTCATTTGTGGCTCAGTCAAATGGAAACTATATTGCTATCTTCTCCAATAAACGTCCATTCAGACTAGACAAGTACAAGAGGTATGAATCACATGGCGTTTTTGGTTTTCCTGTAAAGTGTTGTTTCAACTTGGATGGTGAAATTCTTGCCTCTGGTTCCTCGGATGGTGAAATATATTTTTACAGTGTCAGATCATCCAATCTCGTAAAGAAAGTAAAAGCTTATAATCAGCCATGCACAGATGTTGCTTTTCATCCTGTAATCCCAAATGTTATCGCTTGCTGTAGTTGGGGTGGAGAAGTTTCAGTGATTGAATGAAGCTATCGAATTTGCCCTGTCAAGTGCAGTTTTGGCTGCATATCTTTTAGTCTCCAACGTTAATAGGGAGGAGTTTTGTAGTTCAGCCTGATTATCTAATTCAAATAGAGTTTGCTAGTCTTCTATGGAAAAAGAAAACAACATATCCAATGCTTGTTTGATGTTGTCCACTTGAGCCTGGTTATCTGTGTCTTCTTATTATAGCTTTTATATTTCTTACTCAATTAATCAAAGCCTTAATCCCATATGTAGTCGGCTAAATGAACCAAAAGTGATTATTTCGTACAGTCATCCACTTAAATATTTCTTACTATCAAAAAAAAGAAACCAAACAAGATTCAAGTTTGATGAAATGGAATCCTTTTGCCTGTGCTGAAATAGAATTCTCGCAGCATGAACACAGCATAAAATAGATGGAATCTATCAAGAGTTTGATTCGTTTTCAGCTCTTCATGACTAAATTCTTTGCGCTGAGTATCCGTATTGGTGTAAGAAAGGGGGGGGGGGGGGTAAGGAGATGATAATTGACATGATTTCTTTTGGTGTTTTTATGCTTAATTTGTTATCCCTTCACCTTGTTTTCTCACTTTCTCCTAAAGTCTTTTAAGTTGATTACCCGACCCCCTCTTACTAGTATTTACATTCTCTTTCCCCACAAAATAAATTACCCCTTCTCTCACTCTCTTCTCAAACCCTATAACTTGACAAGTACCCATCAAATTTCTGACCACCAATCGTCCTCCAATCACCATTGTTAATCTTTGCTCTCTCCTCGGAACCTTTGCCCACCTCCAACCACCCATCGGCCATCGCCATTGCCATCCACCACTACCCACAACACGTTATCTCTCTTCTTTAGTTCCCCCTTTTCTTTCATTTCATGCCCCATAGATCTCTAGATTTGAATGAATTATTCGCAAGTTATTTGCTAGGTTATATCTTGTACAGTGTACATGACAACCTGATGATTTGTATAATTGTATTTATCAAAATTATGCAAAATTTTTGAAACAAATTTCATCATTTATACAATTGTTCATGTCAGAAAATACTTTTTTGTAATAAGAAATTGTATTTTGGAAACTTGTTTTTAAGCCAAATAAACAAAGTACGAAACATTTTATCCTGTTTTCGAAACAAAATCAAACATGTACTAGTAGTAATCACGGGCATTCCTTTCCCTTTTACGGTCCTGTATTATTTCTAGGTTTTATTCTGTTTACATGCGCAAACCAAACGCCAGTTAATGTTAGTTCATGATTGCTTAGTTCATGACGTTTGTGTTTATAATCTAGATTTCATTTTGTTAACCTTTGAACATGCTTTTAGCAAAGTTTTATAGTCAAAGGGTATTTTTAGTCGCTGTTCTTTTATTCATTTGAGTAGAAAGGGAATATTGTCATATTGGGTAATTTTAGTCGCTGTTGTTAAATATGTTTTTTAGCTTATTAATGAGTTGTTGGTTTGGCAATGTTTTTTGTTTTCAGATTCTATTTCTTAAAAACAAAAACAGAAAACAAGAAAAATGTGTTTTTATTTTTTAGTTGTTGGTTTTCAAAATTATCATGATTTAAATAAGTGAATAATTTTTAATTCATTATATAAAATATATTTTATTTTTTTGAGGAAAACGGATGGCATGCCTTAGATAGATAAATTGTCCATCAATACAAATGGGGAGACCTTACAAGGACTATGGTTCTCCCAAACTTGTTCACAACCAAAAGGCACCATACGGGCCAAATAATGAGCTACACTATTGCCCTCCCGTTTAACATGACTCCAAGAGATAGAGTTAAAAGAATTACAAGAGTTAAGCACATCCTCGAGTAAGCCATCCAGATCAGTGAGAAAAATGGAACCTTTGCATAACCTTCCAACCAGAACTTGGCTATCGGACTCAATCACGACGTCCTTGAACCTATAGCGCTTCGCAGGTCTAGAAGCCATCGACACCGCCTTGCACTCAGCTATAATTGGAGACCAATAAGCTCTGGAACGTCTGCACGCACCCAACAAAACCTCACCATTGCTGTTACGAGCTACCACCCCTAGCCCAACCCAACCATCCTCGCGAAGAGACGCGTCACAGTTAAGTTTAATAACTCCGTCAAGCGGAGCTTGCCAAGTCTTGGGGCTGCTCTGCTGTTTTGCTCTAACCACCCCATAAATTCTTTCCGAGGCTGAAATGCATTCACTCGCAAGTCTTCGAACTCTGTCAACAAGGACAGGGTGAAATGTTTCGGACCCCTGGAAGATCTTCTCATTGTGTCTTCTCCACAGATTCCACATAAGAATAGCCCCCTTGCATTGCTTGCGTGTTCTGTGCTTGCTCCACCCCTCAAAAAATTCGAGGAAATTCAATTCATTCGGCCAGACCGCAAGCTCATGGCATTCACATTCCACCCATAGGTCTTTAGCAGCAGGGCATTCGAAGAAGGCATGTCTAATTGTTTCAAGGCTGTCCGGACACCAAGGGCAAGACTCAACTTCCGCCATATGGCGATACTTCAAGTAGGCTCGAACAAGGAGGGTACCTGTACAAATCCTCCAAAGGAAATGGCGCACCTTTGGTGTAACATCAAGCTTCCAAATATCAACCCATGTTCTATGAAAATCGTCCAAATTACACGATTTCCCTAGCATATACGCAGTTTTGACCGAGTATGCACCATCCATGGAGAAAGCCCAAAAGATCGAGTCTGGCATAGAGCTAGAACACAGTGGGATAGCTAAGATGCTGCGAGTGTCTATTTCATTGAAATTTTCAGAAATAATCGCTTCCTTCCATTCTCTATTCTCATGATCAATCAAATCTGCAACCATCTAAATCGTGCCTAATTTCGGGGAAGAAATAAATCTACTAGAGCCACTGTCAATCCAAGGGTCAGACCATATATTGACTGTTGAGCCATCACCAATTCGCCATAGAAGGCCCTCCTTGAGCAAAGCTTTAGAGGACCAAATGCTTTGCCATGAATAGCTGTCGACATAGCCCAAGTGAGACTCCAAAAAGCTACAATTCGTGTAGTATTTTGAGCCCACAACCTTGCTTAGAAGAGAGTTTGGAAACTTGGTAAGTCTCCAAGCCTCTCTTCCAAGGAGTGCTTCATTAAAAACCCGCAAATCTCTAAAGCCCAAGCCTCCTAAACATTTCGGAGTACAAAGATCATCCCATTTCTTCCAATGTACTTTGCGGTCTTCATCAGTGCTACCCCATAGGAACTTCGCCATCATGGAGTGAAGGTCCTGAATAACACTTTGAGGCAATCTATAAACACCCATAAGGTACGTGGGAATCACTTGGATTACAGATTTTAAGAGAATTTCCTTCCCAGCACGGGACAGTAGCTTTTCTTTCCACCCATTTAATTTCTTCCATATTCTATCCTTGAGAGCCATGAACACCATCCTCTTCGATCTTCCAATAATGGTGGGAATACCAAGATATTTCCCGTGTGTATCTACTCGTCTTAAGGCCAAAATTTCAATCAATTCCTCTTGCATTGACGTACTGACACTTTTGCTAAATGAGACCTCCGATTTCTCATAGTTAATTTTCTGTCTGGAAGCTGCTTCACATATGTTGAGAATTTTTCGAGCATTCCCTTCGGTTGGCTCTTGCAAAAAGAAGACTGTCATCTGCAAAAAGTAAATGAGAAATTTTCGGACCTTTTCTACTAGCTTTAGCTCCATGAATCGAGCCATCAACCATAGCTTTCCGCAAAACACCAGAAAAAGCATCAGCAACAAGAATAAAGAGATACGGGGACAATGGATCCCCCTGTCGGAGGCCACGGGAAGGGGTCACAGAACCACACACCCCGCCATTAACAATAAACGAATATGAGACCGAAGTAACACAATCCATCACAATTCTGACCCAACCATCAGCAAAACCCATTTTTAGCAGGAGTTTCTCAAGAAAATTTCATTCCACTCTGTCATAAGCCTACTCATATCCAATTTCAAAGAAATCAAACCCTTTTTGCCCTTACATCTCGTTTTCATAGTATGGAATAGTTCCAGAGCTACTAAAGCATTGTCTGTAATAAGTCTACCCGGCACAAAAGCACTCTGATTTTCCGATATAACACTCGGAAGAATATTTTTTAAGCGCAAAACAATCGCTTTAGAAGCTATTTTATACATTACATTACAAAGAGCAATAGGTCTAAACTCGGCCATAGAGGTGGGGGAGTTGACCTTCGGGATAAGACCAATATTAGTATTATTAACAGAGCTAATAGATTCATTACCCTGTAAAATATTACTAATAAAACAATAGACATCATCACCAACAATATGCCAGAATTTTTGATAGAAAATAGCATGCATACCGTCCGGTCCTGGGGCTTTACAAGGGTGCATTTGATTGAGAGCGGCAAAAATCTCCTCCTTCGAGAAAGGCCGAAGCAACTCATTATTAATCTCCAAAGTAATAATAGGATTTACCGCATCAAGGACATGTTCACACGCCACTTCAGATGGGGTGCCTGCAGTGAAAAGATGATGATAAAATTTTTCGACAATTTTTTCCAAGTGGCTTTCATCCTCTTTCCAATCCCCATTCTCATCGAACAGACCCTTAATCTCATTCTTTTTCTTACGTTGAGAGGCTTTATGGTGGATGTACTTGGTGTTTCGATCCCCTTCCTTAATTTCCGCAGCTCTGGATCGTAAGTACCAGTAAGATTCCTGTTTATCGAATAGCTCTTCAAGCTTACATTCTAACTCCAAGCACCTCGCAATAGATTCCTCCGAAACATCTTCCCCTCTCGCAATTTTTAAAGCCTCCTCGATATCACACACCTGCTTATTCAGGTTCTGGAATTTCTTCCCACTCCACAATTTCAAACTCCCTGCTACTTCCTTTATTCGGTCTGAGATCAGTCCCCTTCCATCCCTCCAAGCACACCGCACAACCTCCTCGCACTCCTTCTCCAACAACCAGCAAGTTTCAAAACAGAATCCCCTCTTTTTCTTTTTTTTTTTTCTTCTTTTTTCTATGCTCCCCTAGCCTGAGAAAAATTGGAGAATGGTTGGATTTGATACGAGTTAAGTTCTCTACGATTGAGCCACGGTGGGCATTAAACCAAGCAGCATTTGCCACAAACCTGTCCAGTCTTTCTCTGATGTGAGTTTGAACCGTCAAGCCCTTTTCCCATGTATACCATTGCCCCT